CCACCCCACCTTGTTTTGGGGAGGACCTGATGAGTAGGTGCTTTCTGTAGCTGTGGAAATGGACTGTGAGAACATTTAAAATGCCTCATGGATGCAACATGATTCCTGACTTCCAGCCATGTGTTTGGTCAGAGCTGAGCTCTCCAAATCCATAAAACCTCCAAAACCTTTGCTCCTAGATTTTTGCTGAATTTCCTTCTCCAATAGCTTTGAGCATCCCGATACCCCCAAACCACTGGTTTTCTACCTTCACATGACACTTTGTACATTTCCTCTCACTTTTTCATTTTAATTTCACTTTTCCCAAATGCATTGGCATCAGCATTAGGGAGGATGGAGTTAATTGCACGGCAAAGACCTTTTATGGCACTGTGGATAAACCAGTAACTGCCCATGTCTTTGCTGGTTGCCACTGGGCAGCACTTCTGCACTGCTGGCAGGAAGGGGGAAACTCTTCCAAGCCTCAAGGCTTCTGCTTGGCCTGGAGAGAAGAGAGGCAGCTTTAACTCAAGACCAGCAGGAGCAGCCTGTCCTCAGTGGGCAGTCACAGGAGATTCATTCCCAGTCTCAGCCTGGGCACTCTGGGTTGTCCTTTCGGTCTCCTCCTGCAGCAAAGCCATTGCATGCCACAGCACAAAGAAGGTGCTTTGGGCACCTAATATTTCTGGGTTCTCTTTTAACCCAAACTGGGACTGTCTGGCAGCTCTCTTGGTGGAGAGATGTCAGCAGGGTGGTCACCCTTGGAGATTTGTGCTGCGAGACCTGTTTGTTTGTGTCCTGATGTTTTTGACACAAAGATGGTACTGTTGCTGGGGAAGGAAGTGAGATCTCAATGTGCACAGGCTGGATGCGATCAGAAGTTGTTTTTTTGCAGCAGCAAAGTTGACCTGAAGGTTCAGGAATATTCCAGTATGATTTGGGATAGTGGGATATCTCTAAAGCAAGGAGATACATGTCCCCAGGGGACAGAAAAGTTTAGAGTGATCTTGGCAGTGAGCAGGGGAAGGGCAGGGGAGATGGCAGTGAGTGAGGGAAGGTTCTTGCTCAGTTTGGAATGATTTGGAGCTGGCTGTGATGGGAAGGGCTGGGCTTGACTCAGGTGGAGATATCCAAGACAGATGCAGTCAGCACGTGTCTAGGGATAATTAGATTGATCCAGCACTGAGAGGGGTTCAAAGGGCCTCTCAGAGGTGCCTGAACACACCTCTTGGGTTGCCAGTCTGTTTTCTGTTGTTCATGTGCCCTCTCTGAAGTCTGAAAATCCCTATTATTTCACAGTCAATTTGCTGCTGTTTTCCCAAGGCCAGTATTGTCTCAGCAAAGCTCAATTTCTGTAGGCTTTAGTTTGGCAGTTCAAGCCCTGCCACCACCATCCTCCAGCATGGCACAAGTGGAGGGTGGTGACGAGGAGGACGAAGATCCTCCCTGAGCAGTGCTCAGGTCCGGGGTAGGGTGTCCTCCAAGGAACTCAGGCTTTTCTGCAGCCTGACCTTCTGCTCCAGTCCCACCCAGTATAACCCACTTGGGCTACTGGTGGTTAAAGCCTCAGCCTTTTTCTGACAGCCGCTCACAGCAGATGAATGGGGAGGACACTGGGTGTTTTTATTGCTGTCGAATGCCAGGGAAAACCAAGGAGCAGAGGGCTGATGTGGCTTCTTCCAAGTTACACAGTAAATAAGCAGCAGAGTTGGGAAAAACCCAGGGTCTTCAGAGTCCCCACAGTCCCCACCAGATCAGCCTGCCTCCCAAATGTTTACTAAAGAGACTGGAGTCTGATTGTTTTTACTTTATTTTTAATTTTTAGACGCTTCCCTCTTCAGGCTGTTTGCCTGTTCCACAGTGACCAGTATTTGAACAGCACTAGCAGGAAATGTTTGGGAAATATGCTTTAAAAACACAGTTCTGCTAAGATGTTCTTTTTATTCCTGGTTTATACAGAGGCTTGGGATTCACAAAGAATGAATCTCTTGTTGGTAGGAGCAAGTTAGGCAGCAGTTTGTTTTGGAGCTGTCTTTGTCATCACTGAGGGCGGGACTGATCTGGGTGTTGGGGGGTCATTTGTGGTCCTACAGTAAAAAAAGGCTTTGTGGTCAATTATATTTTGTATTCTTGTAGCTCCTCTTGAAGCCAAAGGTCCAAGCTGGAATCTTTGCCTCTGGAAAGCTCTGCTTTGACACCACATACAGCTCCAGTGGAAATTATGGAGCTGATGCTGAAATTATTGGGTGAGGTTTTCTGGACTGAATTACACCAGATGACAAGGCTGAATGATGTTAAGTGTCCCCTTGGGTCACCATGGCTAGGAATCTTCATGGATATCTCCAAGTTGAAATTGGTGTGTGGAGTTTTGTGGAAGTGTTGTTTTGCCTGCTGCTGACAATGGACATGTGGGATGGTCCACGTGTCAGAAGAGGGTTGGGAAGACAGCTGTGCTGTCACAAGCATTTGCTTCATCCCCTGCCTTCATCCCAGGAATGCAGCTGTGGACAACCATCCTAAGAGGGGGATAACATCTTGGAGAAATCTGGAGAACATCCTGGTATATCTGGCTGCAGAGTGACGTGCTGGTGCAGGCAAGGGAAGGCAGCAGTTAGATGAGGGGCTGGAGGTTCAGACCTGTGGTACCCTCTGACCAGCTGGGAAGCCATTTCTGAGGGTGTGAGGGTGTTGATGGGGACAAGCCACAGGCCAAGGCATCAGTAGCTGGTGTTTGGGGTGTAGGGCACAGTGCTGGGCATGTGGAGGAGCCTGGTGAGCCACAGCACCCACAGCACCATCCTGCCAGGGAGCTGCCTACTCCTGCATCCAATTAAACTGCTGCAGCGACCTGGAGAGGCAGCAGGGATTGACTCAGGGCTTGGCTGGGATCCTGGGACCCACACTGCAATTCATCCAGCGGAATAAAACAAAAAAACAAAGGCACTGGGATTTTTAATAAGTGTTTAAGGTCTTGGATTTGGGTCTGGTCAGTCATTTGATGCAGCCACAGGACTCGTATTAGTGTGTGGGAGAGAAATCCAGTCTGAGCATGAGACGCTGTGGGTTGGCACCCAGCTGGGGAGTTGTCCTTGTGTCTGGGAGCAGAAGCCTATTCCCAGTTGCTCCTTGGGGGCTGCCAGGCTCCGAGCAGAGCAGTTTGCACCAGATGGTCCCTGCAGCATCCTGGGGAAGTTCTTCTCCAGATTCCTGGATAAAAGCAGGCTCCAGCTTGGATTCATGCTGACCCTGGTGCAGTCAACAAGAGCATCAGCCGTTGTGACAGACTGTGCCCAACATGAGATCCTCCAGCAGCTCCAAGCAGTGGAAAGAGCCAAGTGCTGCAGTGTTATTACACACTGTTGTACCCCATACCAGTGTTGTGTTCAGCTCATTCACAGTATTTTCATCCTTGTTCACATGCTGCATCATAGTCCTTTGCCAAGCTCCACATTAATTTGGGGCACAGTGCCTGGAGCTGGGTGAGCACCATGCCCAAGCCATGCCCACGTAGGCACACCTGGGAAGGAACTGAGCAGATCTGGGTGCCAGGGCAACCTGGGGGTCAGAGCTGCTCATGTGCCAGTCTGGAGAGCTGCAGCAGAAATGAGGAAATACTTCCCACATCAGCCCTTTCACAGCCATGCTCTCCCAGCAAAGCAGCCACAGCTGACATTACTGGGGTGGCATTACTCTGGGTGGGTCAGAGACACCAGAGCAGTGCTCCAGCAGCTCCCACTGCTGAAACACAGCTCCCAGCAGCTAGAGATGGAGCAGCAATCCCAGTGATGGTGCTGTTGGTGCAGCTCAGAGCTGTCCAGGGCAGCTCCTGCTGCCTCAGCCTGGCCACTGAGCTGGGCATAAAGCACTGGAATTTTCCTCTGAGGAGAAGTGACCTTCAGCTGAGGTGGCTCAGAGCCTGCCATCGGGATTAGCTGTGAAGGAGGTTTAGCAGCAAGAAGCTTTTGTACTGCTGTGAGGCTCTGGGTCTGTAAGGGCAGCTGTGCCAAGTGTTGAGCAGCCTCGTGATGCCCTTACAAGGATTACGGGGGCTGATGTCTGCAAAAGGATCTGCAGCAAGCAGCCATGCTGCAGGACACGCTGTCTGCCACACAGGTCTGCTGCTGGCTCCAGGGTTCTCCCAAAGTGATGTCCTGTTCCCTGAGCTGCTAGAGATGCAAGGTGAACTCAGTACCCTGGCTACAAGGGCACCAAGGCAAAGTCGGTGTCTGCAGAGGTGGTACAGGACAGGGCTTGGAGAAGCAAGGGTTGGAAAAGAGGATGGCAAGCCCTGGAGTCCTCCAAGAACAGCAGTTAGGGTGTCAAAAGTGCACGACACCCCAAGTGTTGTGGGTGATGTGGGAAACAAGGACATTTCTCTCTCTCAGGATTTTTCATAGAGGTGCACAGAGAGAAAGAAAGAGAAAACAATTCCTATTTCTGCTCCTCGTTTTTCTTATGTGGAACGTGCTTGGAGAATTGTTTACCTGGGGTGATTGCTTGGTTGGATTCTGGTGAGGATTGTTTGAGTCTGATGGCCAATCCAACCCACCTGGGGCTGGACTCTTGACAGAGTCACAAGTTGTGAGTTAGATATGGCAGTTAGAGAAAGTAGGTTTGTAGTTTTAGTATCTTCCTTTATATAGCATATTAATGTATTATAGCATAGTTATAATAAAGAAATCATTCAGCCTTCCGAACTGAGTCGGACATCATCATTTCTTCACACTGGGTTTGCCTGCATTTACAATATGGTGGGGTCAGGAGCACTGTGAGGGAGATGAAGGCCATGTCAGGCAGGTGCAGAGATGCTTTTAGCTTCTGTTTCTCCAAGACTCTCTGGCAGAAGTGTCTGGAGGGCCCCATCCACAGCCAGCAGGGCAGGACTGGCTGTCACCTGAGTGGCTTGGGAGAACGTCCTCCTCACACCCCACCTGCAGTCATGACCAGCTTTGTCTTTCCTGTGTCTGAAGCTGTGTGGTTCCCTTTCCCCTTGAGACACATTTCCTCTCCTGTGTTTGCAGGTTGCCTATGGGACCACAGAAAACAGCCCTGTCACCTTCATGGGGTTCCCCAATGACAACATGGACCAGAAAACTGAGACAGTGGGATACATCTTTCCCCACACAGAGGTGACCATGACCCTTCCCACGGGCTCCAGGTGCTCTGCCAGCAGCAGACCTCACTCCATCCTCCCTGTCTGGGGCTGATGTCCAACTAAGCCCTTCTTCTCTTCCAGGCAAAAATTGAGGATCCAGAAACAGGGCAGTCTGTGCCTCTGAACGCTCCAGGGGAGCTTCAGATCCGTGGCTACTGCGTCATGCTGGGCTACTGGAATGACCCTGCCAAGACAAGTGACGTGATCACTGCTGAGAGGTGGTACAAGACAGGGTGAGTCTCACAGCTTCTCCCAGATGGTCCCACAGGGTGGCACTGGCTGAGGAGGCATGGGTGTGTATAGGAGTGCTTGGCTGGGATTTCCAAAGTAGAGAAAACTGTCCCAGTTTATCCCTCTGATCTGTCTGTGACACTTCAGAGCTGCTTTTAGCAGAGAGACCTCAGTGCTGAGTGTCCCTGCAGAGGGGGATTGTCACTGGCCACTTGTGCATGGAGGGATTGGGGGGGTACAGGGCAGGGCCAGGCATTGCCTCCCCACTGAATCCTGGTGTTTGTGTGGCTGCTGCCAGTTTCTGTAAGAGGAGCTCTTTGATCTCTTCCATGTGCTCAGGTGGCACCTCAGCCATTATCCTCTGACACCCCCCTGGCTGGGTGGGAGCATCAGCCACGCTCCCACCCAGCTGGGACAGGACTAGAAGGGTGCTGTCATTGCAGGGACCTCGCCACCCTGAACGAGCATGGCTACTGCAGAATTATAGGGCGTTGCAAGGACATGATTATTCGGGGAGGAGAGAACATCTATCCATCAGAACTTGAGCAGTTCCTCCACACCCATCCCAAGGTTGAGGAGGTCCAGGTGAGTGGGAGGAGGTGGGGTGGGTGAGAATCTGTTTTTGGGAATTCTGTACATAAAGCTTCTGGAATTGCTGCTTGGAACCTGGTTGTCTTTCCCTGTTTTCAGCATCAAATTCTATGTAATATTGGTAAGCAAGGAGGAGGGACAGGCTGATGGGATGGAAGTGGCACGGGGCATATGGATTGTGGCAATCTCCTTGTGTTCCAGCTGCATGTCTGCAAAGTGCTTGTCATTCTTCAGTTTTAAACTGTCCACTTTCATAACTCCCTCTGAAATTCTTACTCAGAAAGCAGTCTGGAAGGACAGTTTTTACTGATAATTGCTCAACTCTGACATCCAGGAAGACTCTTCCAACAAGCCCCTGGAGATGAGGAGTGAGACTGTTTCACTCCTTTGCAAGACAGAAAAGATTTCCAGGACTGAGCAGCTGTTCCCTGTCTGCTGGGATTGTTCTCCTCCAGGTTTTGTGCCAGACAAGTTTCCCCATAAATAAACTGCTTATTTAGTCAGAGTTCTGCCGGTGCCAGGCGAGCATCTCTCTTTGGAACAGTCCCAGTGCAGATGGGTTGCAAACCAGCCCTGTTTATGTGGTTTCTAGGGCTTTATGTCACTGCTCTGGACTCAAAAGGATCAACGTGTCTCTAGCAGTTGGAGATAGTGGTTCAAGGCAGGGAATGACAGTAGGATTCTTGTGGAATAGTGGAAGCAAACTTTGGAGAGAGCTCAGGCTTGGGAAGCCCATTTCCTGGTGTGACCCACTAAGATCTGTGATTATAATCCTTTAATTCAACCTCATCCCTCCCCAGCCATTCCATCTGGAGATCCTGAAGCACTCGTGGCAGCCTACCAAGTCTCCTTGTTGTTTGTGGAACCTCTTGCCCCTTTTTTTTGGAATCAGAGGGATGATGACAGGTCCACGTTGCATTCACAATGCTCCAGCACCCTGTGCTGTGGGTCAGGGAACACAGCATGGGCCAGCACACAGAGCCTGGGGGAGGCCAGGGACACCCCAAGGGTCACACTGCCCATCTGTCCTGCCCAGGTGGTTGGTGTGAAGGATTCGAGGATGGGAGAAGAGATCTGTGCCTGCATCCGACTGCGGGCTGGGCAGGACTGCAGCGAGGAAGAGATCAAAGCTTTCTGCAAAGGGAAGGTGGGTTCCCAGTCCTCAGTTTCCTTCCAGACCAGTACACCCAGTGGCTGCTGGGGACTGGTGGATGAAAGCCCATGGATTTAGAGTCCTGGGGACCCAGCCCTGGCAGTGCCAGGCTGTTCCTTTGGGTTGTGTAGCCCTAACTTTTCTCTTCCCAGATCTCGCATTTCAAGATCCCACGTTATGTTGTGTTTGTGAGCCAGTACCCACTCACTGTCTCAGGCAAGGTAAGAGGGGCTGGGGCAGGGCAGGAACCCTGGCATTCTGTCCCAGCTCTCTCTGAGTCTCTCTCCCTGCTCTCTGCCCTCTGTTCCAGATTCAGAAATACAAGTTGAGGGAGCAGATGGAGAGGCACTTGCAGCTCTGAGATTGGGAAGGCAGAGCAAAAACCAGGACAAATCAACTCCATTCCAGTCAGCTCTGAGTCTGGTTTGACCTGTGCCTTGGGCTATGCAAGGAAGACTTTCCCTCCCTGACATCAGGCTGATGGCACTTTTAGTCAATAAAACAAAGTGCCTTTTTTTTCCAGTTGAGCTTGTTTCTTTGCCAACAGAAATACTGTGCTGTGAGGACGGGATGTTTATTTCTGGAATTCTGTGCAGTTACTGAAAGACCTTATGAAGGTTTAAAAATTTTGTGTGTCTCTGATCAGCTTGGCTGCAGCCCTTTCACAGGAGTTGAACATATGCTGGTGGGTATTTTATGGACACTCTTAAGTCCAAATGCCCTAGCCTGGCTTCCTATCCCATCCTTGGATGTTGTGAGACTCCTGGGTCATTTAGGAGTGGCTGAACCCCTGAAATGAGGGCCAGGGATTTCAGAGAATGAGACTTTGCATTGGGGCTCTCTAGAACTGGCTGGAAAAGCTCATTCTGTTCCCACACCTCCCCCAGGTGTTTCCCAAAAAAAAACCCTTCTCCAAGGTAGACACAGCTTTGTTTATTTTGTTGTTTTGGACAAGACAGACAGTAAGGTTGTTGCAGAAATACCAAAATTCCTGTCCCAGAATTGGCAGTGTGAAGCAGAGCGTACCTGGGACAGCATTTTACGGGAGTTATTTGGTACCTCCCAACCATGAAACACTCCTGTGAGAGGAGGGATGGCAGAGCTCCTCTGTGCCAGCAGAAGTGTCCCACGCCAGCTGCAATGTGGATAATGTTGTTGCCGACTCTCGCTGACCTCCCTCCTGCTTCCTTCCCGAGCAGAGCTGAGGCTGGGCCCCCTCCATGCTCGGCTTCCTCCGGTGGGTGGGGGGCAATGCAAGAGGAGAAAGAAGAAGTGTCAGCGAGGTCTCATCCTTCATCTCCCAGCTGGACTGTGGGCTCTACCCATGGAAGCAGACGGCGGGGCCAAGTCCCCTGTCCACGTCTGCACTCTGAAAGAACAAAACGTGGATGGTTTGTGTCAGTGTCGTTCCAGCAAGTTCCTCTCCTGTCCCCGCACTGCTGTGGGGCTGGTTTCAGCACTGATCCTTCCTCATTTCACTCACGTCTCCTCCCTTCCCTGGTTACCTCTGTCACCCTCCTTCCCGAGGGAAGAACTGTTACCTGCATGGCAGCAGCTGTTGTCAAGGACCTTGGGGACACAAAGAGCCTCTGTGATTGATGTCTAGGGAAGGACCCTTTACCTCCTTTTGCTTCCCACAGCACAAACCCAGGTGCAGGGCAGGCCTGCAGTGAGTGGAGCTTCTGCTGCCCTCCCTGATCAGTACCTCCACCCTTGGCACAACCCCTGCCCTGCCCACGGGTGCTCCATGTGCTCACTGTACCGGGGGGCAGTGGATAAGTAATGCCAGTGACATCAGCTCTGGCTAGTGAGGACAGACACACTGCTAAGAAAACCAGTGGGTCCTGGTCACAGCCAGCACAGGGGGAACAGCCCCTGCCACCCCACTTCTGCTCCTGTTCTGGGAGTGGGGCAGCACCATCCGTGGGTGTGAGCTCTGGCAGAGCCTGCTCTGCCTTCCCCAGAGCATACCCAGCCCTCGGCAGCCTCCCGCGGCACCCCCTGCCCTTCCCAGCCCCTGAGATAACGCATCCCGGCTGTGAGTACTCACGGAAGAGCAAAAGCTGTCCCTTTTGGCTGCCAGTGCAGTCTCCATGTGTGCAGTGCTCCATGCTCGCTCAATGGCTTCTGCCCTGCCCGTGCCCGAGTCCCACTCTTATAGCCCTCGCTGCCTGCTCGGAAACTCCCCGCAGAGGGAAGGTTACAGCAGGGGTGGTGTACACCGAGCTACGCCTTTCTGGCCTGGAAACGGGAATCTGCGGTCCCAGCTTTGTCATGGGAATTTCAGAGCTCCTCGTGACTATTAACACAGACAACTACTAACGTCGGGGTTCGTCAGCTGCGGGTTTGCACAACCTGCAGTGGGGACAGTGGGGACAGCCCACCTTCCTCCGCCGAAACTCCGGAAAACCCTTCCCGGCCCCGAGGAGCAGCCGGGGAAGGATGCGGGGGCAGGGCCCAAACCCCGTTCGGACCGTGCGGCTGGGGAGGACACCGGGGGAGGACACCGGGGGAGGACACCGGGGGAGGACAGCGGGGGAGGACAGCGGCCCTGGCATCCGCGGCACCGGGAGAAGACGCTGATGCGGCATTCCCAGCGCCGGGGGAGGCCGCTGAGAGCCGCATCCCTGCAGAGCCCCGCCGGCCGCGGGAGGCTTTGCCCCGGGCCCGCCCGGCTCGGAGCCCGCCCGGTGCGGGCGGAGCCACGGCGGTGGCACGGGCGGGGCCACGGGGCCATGGCGGCGGCGGCGGGGACGCGGTGCTGCTCCCGGGGCCTGGCGGCGGCGGCGGCGGCGCTGCCCGGCGGGGGCGGCCCGGGACCGGTACCGGGGCCGGGGCCGGTGCCAGGAGCGGCCGCTCCCGCCACAGCCGCGCTCTACGTGCATGTGAGCGGGGACACGGGGGGACCCGCGGCTGTGACTGTGAATGTGCGGGGGCGCACGGGGAGTCACGGCTTTGCATACGTGGGGACACACGTGGGGACGCACTCGGGGTCCTGGGGTTGTACACCCGGCACGGGTGGGTGTGAATGTGGCTCCTTGGGGCTCGCACACACGTGGGGACGCACTCGGGGTCCTGGGGTTGTACACCCGGCACGCGTGGGTGTGAATGTGGCTCCTTAGGGCTCGCACACACGTGGGGACATGTGGGACCCCGGGGTGTGCACATGGAGGAGAGCCCTGCCTTGTACTGAGGGGCCCCCGAGCCGTGCGCATGGAGGGTCACACCTGTGGGTCGTTCGCCTTGTGGGGCAGGTGGGGGGCACTGCTGTCCATGCACTGGGCTGGGGGTGTTCCCCTCCAAGCGGAGTGGCTGGGGGTGAGGGCACGGCTGCCCCCCACACGCCCCATGCCCGCAGTGGCCCTACTGCCGCCAGCGCTGCTCCTACTGCCGCTTCAACACGTACGTGGTGCCGGCGGTGGACGAGGCGGCCGTGCGCGCCTGCCTGGTGCGGGAGGCGCAGGCCCTGCTCCGCCTCAGCCAGGTGCACAGGTGGGTGCCGGGGTGGGCTCCTGGGCCGTGCCGGGCCCTTCCGTGCCCACCTGAGGTTTCCCACCCTCTGCCCTACAGCGTCACCTCCGTCTTCTTCGGCGGGGGCACGCCCAGCCTGGCCAGCCCCAGCACTGTGGCGGCGGTGCTGGAGGCGGTGGCGGGCGCTGCCCACCTTCCCCCTGCTGCCGAGGTCACGCTGGAGGCCAACCCCAGCTCCACCAGCGCCTCTCGCCTTGCCGGCTTCAGGGCCGCTGGGGTCAACCGCATCTCCATCGGCGTCCAGGTGAGAGGGGCTGTCCCCGCCGCAGCCCCGCAGCCCCCCGAGCCCGCTGGCACCGTGCTCCCTCCGCAGGCGCTGGATGACGCCGAGCTGAGGCTGCTGGGCCGGGAGCACACGGCGGCGGAGGCGCGGAAGGCTGTGGAAGCAGCGCGGGGGCTCTTTCCTGGCCGAACCTCCATCGACCTCCTGTTTGGGCTGCCGGGACAGAGCCGGGATGCCTGGGCCCAGCGGCTGGAGGCGGCCCTGGGGCTCTGTGACCACCACATCTCGCTGTACCAGCTGACGCTGGAGCGGGGCACGGCGCTGGCAGCACGGGTCAGGAGTGGGGCGCTGCCTGCACCCCCCCAGGACCTGCTGGCTGACATGTACCAGACTGCCCGCAGTGTGCTGGTCGCCTCTGGCTTCCGCCACTACGAGGTCTCCAATTTTGCACGGAAGGTGGGATGTCCCCCCGGCTGTGTCCCCCAGTGTCATGCTGGTGCCCCAGCAGGCTCAGCCCCTCACCCCAGGGCTCTCCCACAGGGCGCCCTCAGCACCCACAACCTCTCCTACTGGCAGGGTGACCAGTACATCGGTGTGGGGCCAGGTAAGGGGTGATGGAGGGCCAGTGAGGGGGGAGTGTGTGGCCATGTGCCTCGGGAACTCCTTTGTCCCCTGGCTGGCTGCTGCAGGGGCACACGGGCGCTTCGTGCCGCGGGCGGAGGGCGGCTGCAGCCGAGAAGCCCGTGTGCAGACCCTGGAGCCTGTCGCCTGGATGCGGGAGGTGCAGAGCCAGGGACACGGCACCAGGAGTCGGGTGGTGCTGAGCCCGCTGGAGCAGTGAGTACTGGGGTCCCCCCCGTGCCCCATCCCTGTCTGTGCTGCCTCACAGCTCTCCGTGTCCCCACAGGCTGGAGGAGCTGCTCTCCCTAGCACTGCGCACGGATGAAGGCATCACACACGAGGTGAGGAGCCACCTGTGGGGACAGCCCACATCGATCCGATGCTAATCATGGTTTGGATTGAGTGGCACCTTAAAGCCCATCTTGTTCTACCTCCTGCCGTGGGCAGGGATACCTTCCACTAGACCAGGTTGCTGTGAGCTGTGTCAAACCTCACCTTGAGCATTTCCAGGGATGTGCCATCCACAGCTTCTCAGGGCAACCTGTGTCAGGGCCTCAGCTCCCTCACAGGAGAATTTCTTCCCAATATCTAATCCAAATCTGCCCTTTCCATCCATCCCTTTTCCTGTCACTCCATTCCCTTCTCCAAAGCCCCTCTTCAGTTCTCCTGCAGCCCCTTTGGGTAGTGGGATGCTGATGCCCCATCACTAACATCACATCCTTCTCTCGCCCTGTCTCACAGCGCTGGGGGCACTTCTCCCCCCAGCTCAGCCTGCAGGCTGTGTTCGGGCAGCCGGGGGAGGCTCGGGCACTGCAGCAGGAGGGCTGGCTCGTCCTGGACAGCGGGTGAGCCCCGGGGAGCTGCGTCAGGGCCGGGGGTGTCCCTGGGGCAGCGGCTCTCACCAGCACCTCTTCCCCAGGGGCCTGCGGTGCACCTGGGCCGGCCTGGCCGTGCTGGACTCGCTGCTGCCCGACCTGCTCTGGCAGCTGCAGCGGGCGCTGGGCGCTCCGGCGGAGCGGAGGAGGGACTCCGGCAAAGGAACGAGCTGTGAGCGGCCGTAACGGATAATAATGGATAATAAACTGAAACAGAGCTTTTTTTGGAGTTCACTTAAGTTAACAAAATAAATTGAGCATTTATATTCTAGCTTGTAGAGTTATGTCTTGAATTTTAACCTTTTACTTAAGAAACCTCTGCCAAGGTAGAAAAGGGCATAAGAAAATGCCCGGCACCCCAATATCCCGTTGTGTCCGGGTATCCCGGTGCCAGGTAGTGTCCTGGATGCCGGTGTCCCGCCACCCTGAGTCCCGTGTTCCCGGTGTCCCGGAGCCCCAGCATTCCCGATATTCCGGTGTACCGGAGCCCCAGCATTCCCGATATCCCGGTGTCCCAGAGCCCCAGCATTCCCGATATTCCGGTGTCCCGGAGCCCCAGATTCCCAAAATCCCGGTGTCCCGGAGCCCCAGCATTCCCGATATCCCGGTGTCCCGGAGCCCCAGCATTCCCGATATCCCGGTGTCCCGGTGCCCCAGCATTCCCGATATCCCGGTGTCCCGCCACCCTGAGTTCCGTGTTCCCAGTGTCCCGGAGCCCCAGCATTCCCGATATCCCGGTGTCCCGGAGCCCCAGCATTCCCGATATCCCGGTGTCGCGGAGCCCCAGATTCCCAAAATCCCGGTGTCCCGGAGCCCCAGCATTCCCGATATCCCGGTGTCCCGGAGCCCCACCATTCCCGATATTCCGGTATCCCGGTGCCCCACCATTCCCGGTATCCCGGTGTCCCGGTGTCCCACCATTCCCGACATTCCGGTGTCCCCGAGCCCCAGCATTCCCGGTATCCCTGTGTCCCCGAGCCCCAGCATTCCCGGTATCCCTGTGTCCCCGAGCCCCAGCATTCCCGATATTCCGGTGTCCCGGAGCCCCAGCATTCCCGACATCCCGGTGTCCCGGAGCCCCAGCATTCCCGATATCCCGGTATCCCGGTGTCCCGTGTCCCAGCACGCGGCGCATGCGCACGGCGCGGGGAGCGGTGCCATCCGCGCCAGCAGGGGGCGCTGCCCGGGCCTGTCGCGGCCCTATCGCGGCCCTGTCGCGACAGGCGGCGCCGCTGCCGGGACATGGCGGCGCGGCGGGGCCGTGCGGCCCAGAACCGGACTCCTCCTGGTACGGCTCGGCAGCAGGGCCGGACCAGCCCCTTCCCGCGGTGGAGGCGGCCGGAACCAGCCCCTTCCCTTCCCCTTCCCCGGCCTGCCCTCACTTTGAATTTTGGGGTTTTGTTTAAAGGAGCGGGAAGGGCCCGGGGGTGAGGGGAGCAGCCCCCGGTGGGGTCCCCTGAGCTCGGCCGGGCCCGCGGCTCGGCCTGGGTTGGTGTTTCCGAGCTGCTCTGCCACTGAAATCCAGGGCTGGTTACCCGAGGAATCTGTGTGCTTGGAGCTGGAAACTCCCCAGGAATGTCTTGTTCCACCTGCAGGGATCTGTCTTTATTTGCATTTGTCTTACCGTTGTCTTCCATCTGAATAAAGTGTGAGACACTTCACTCCTACTTGACCCACTTTGGTCTTTGCAGCTTCTCAGAGGTTCATTTTTTTCAGTTACAAGAGATGCTGAATTTAATTGTTTGTTGCAGCCTTGAAGAGAAATAATCCCAAAACATAGCTGGAAAATCATTAACCAGCCTGAGAGGAATATGGTGCTTCCTTGGGAGACTGAAGAAGTCTCTTCATCTGTTTTTCAGGCAGGAAGGAAAAGACTTTTGAACAGTCCTCTTCAACTATTCTAGAAGAGCCTGAGCCTGAGCCTGTTCCGTATGTTCTGAAAGGAAAGGACATCCAGGCACTTGAAATTAAGGTGGAGGACCTGGAGAAAGTATGTATGAGTATTTTTACTGCTAGAAACAGCTGCCTTAACTGACACTCTCCTTTTGGGTGTTTAGCAGAGGGTGCTGCCCGTTTACTTAAGCCAAAACTCACTCTAGCAGGTGAGTTTCCCTGCCATTCTGTCTGTCAGGATTTTTATAATGATAAAATGTCAGCTCATCAGGTTTAGTTGCTAAAAGTAAAGGATTATAAGTGCCTATACAGTCCTTTCAAATGGAAGCATAAGTCGTCTGCCTCTTCAAAATTACATCTTCAACTTTCTGATCTAATAAGACTTGTAAGTCGTTTCGTAGCTCTCATGAATTTCCTTGCAAAGCTCAGATCACAGTGTGTGAGTGGAAGCATTTGAGTGACACAGCAGCAGGAATCTCTTCTGCAAAGTGATATAAAACTCTCATTTCCCCCCCCCCCCCCGTTATAAAGCAAGATCCAGAGAAGTGAGATAGTAACTAAGTTGGTATCTGCACAGCTATGCAAGGTGTCTTGTAGAGGAAGAATCATAGAAGATTTGGCTTGGAAAGAACCTTAAAACTCATCTATTTCCACCCCCCCCTGCCATGGGCAGAGACACCTTCCACTATTCCAGGTTGTTCCAATCCCTCAATCCAGCTGGGCCTTGGACACTTCCAGGGATGGCACAGCCACAGCTTCTCTGGGCACCCTGTGCCAGGCCCTCACTGCCTTCACAGGGAAGAATTTTTCTAAGATAATCTAAACCTGTTCTTTACTTGGAGTCCATTCCTTCCTTGTCCTGTTGTTACATGTCTGTGTGGAAAGTCCCTCTCCAGGACTCGCAGGACCCTTGCAGGAAGTGTACTGACATGACTACTGTGCATATCCTGCGAGTCTCAGATGGAATAAAGGTGAGTCAGGGTGTACCTAATTGCACTGTGTTTATTTCCTGAAGCTTCATGCTCCACGCCTTGCCTGTGATGCTGGGAGAATTCTAGTTCGGAAGAATTACCTTGTCCGAAAACACCGACCCAAGGAGGTGGCACATCTCGTGGCACATCCTCTTCCCCCCAGGGCACCTAGGGGACCACTGACTTTTCCTGGTAGGATTCAACTTCACTTCTTGCCTCTGGGTTTTGGTTTTGCTAAGCCAAACTTTAGTGACCTGGCTCTGGGCTTGGGTATTTTTATATGTGTGTTGTAGGATCAAGACAGTTTGATGATGGCTGTGAAGAGATCCTCCCTCATCATATTTTGGGAAGTCTCCAGGAGTTTAGGATGGAAGCCTTGGCCAGAAGAAACACTCAGGTTGGTTTGTAGAGTTAGGAAAATGGTGCTGCACAGCACTTTTCCAGAGGCAGAGTGTGGTGCCTGCAGTACCTTTTGGTGCTTTCCAGCACCTATCAGGAGCAGGGCAGGCCTGAGGTGTGGTTTTCCCAGCCTCATCACACTCTGGGGGAGGGTTTGCCTTTGGAGAAACTGCACCAGCAGGTTTATAGTCCTGTTGTAGTCCAGGACCAGGTCACAGAGGGAACAATTACACCAGCTTCCTCTTCCATATGTGCCCTGCTGATGGTTTCAGAGAAGAGCTGGTGTTGAAATGCCATTGCTGGAGTGTCATTACTCAGATAAATATTTCCATTGTATCTTAGTGTGTCTCTACTGCCCTAGTTTCCTTCCTCTCAGATTGCTGATGTAACAGTGCTGTCGGTCTGAAGAATTCTTCCTTCCTTCCCTCTCCCATTCCTGTTTTGGTGTGCATGGAGAGGTTCATTTAATGTTTCATTTCTCATCAGCTAGCAGATGCTATTAAGGTTCCTCATCCAGATGTTACTGCCGCAGCTTTAGAAGAGGAACACGGAGAAGAGAAGAAAGAAAAGGCACGTCAGGCCCACCTACTAGAGCACAAAGCTTTCCAGAACTGGAGGCATCAGATGGCAATCAGGAAAAAGCAGGAGAAACACCTAGGAGGTGAGAGAAGCTAAGGAGGTCTAAGGAGAATTCTGTGAAATTCTGTGTGCAGGTGGAAAAGTTTGATGTCCCCAAACTGCAGCCGTCGTTGCCAACCAGGGTTAATCCTACTGCCATTGCAGTCTAATTCCATGTTCTCAGAGCTCCCACACTGCTCATGCTGTTGGCTCTGGATGTGGTGGAAAGGTGAGCTGGTGGCTCTAGCTGGGGAGAGGGAGGTGGATTTGGCAGGGAACAGTGTAAGTGGGTTACAGGTGAACCATAACAGTGGCAAAGGGTGTGCCCAGAAGTGCAGCACCAATGATGTGACGTTTTTTATTTATAGAAATTCTTCACAGGCCAGAGAATGAATTGCTGATGAACATGTCAGACAATTACAGGCAAATCCAGGAAGAACGTGACCTCATTGACCGGAGTCTCCCTGCCCTGTTTCCTGGAAAGGTGAGAGCCCCACTTCCTGTGTGTCCTGATTGTGCTGCTCTTGCGACACGGCGCAGACACTGCTCCAAGTGAGTCTCTGAAGTGCTGTCAGGAGGTGTTTATCAAAGCCACTCTGAATCCCTCAGCTTGGTGTCTGAGCAGAGCTTTTGGGGACACAAAAAATAAAAACTGAATTGTGCTGTGCGTACCAGTCAGGGGAAAGTGGTGATGAGCAAGTGGCATTCTTGATTCTCACCAAAGACTGTTGTGACCTGGGAAGTGCCATGGGCACGTGTCACAATTGCTGTTCCAGGGGCAGAAAGGTTGATAGCTTCAGGCTTGGATTTTAGTGATTGCCATGGAGAAAAGGGCATGGGTAAGGCAGGAGGGTTATGGGAGTATTGTGTTAAAATTCTTTTTTCACATTTATAGCACTATCAAAGAATTTGCATTTGTTTGAGGCTTTATTTTAATATCATTCAACTTTCATGTGCACTAGATAGAAGAGAGTTCTTTTGTCTTTGACAGCAGCCTGATAGAAATTTCGCTTGCTCCGCAGAAATGGATAATTCATAGACTTTTAAAATGCTCAAATAGTCAGGGTTAGGCCTCTTTTTAGCTTCAAGTGCCTCTGAAAATAGCAGGTATCTGCATAACTATCCACAACAATCAGTGGGAGCCTTTTTTCCCACCCTAGGGATACCGAGTGGGAAGCGAGTTCTGGAGCCTTCCTGAGCAAATTGGGGATGAACTCACCGGGCTGACTGTGACCCTGACCCGGACAGAGTGTGGGCACCCAGAACCTCTCACTCATGTGGGGAAACCCCCAACTGTCCAGAGGGAAACAGGTAAGGGAACCCTGCAGAGAGGTGATTCCAAAGAAACGGGGCACAAGTGTGGAGGAAGCAGCTCCTTCCCTGCTGAGCC